ATTTTTGCATTAAAAAAAATGGGATTCTAACCCACGAACTTTCGCAATCCGGGCGACTGATCTAACCACTGCTACCCAGGACCTAACAGAAATGACGATTATTTTTTGGGTATTTCCATCAATGTTGAATTCACCCTTTCAATTTTAATTAAGAATGATTTATATTTTTAAATCAATAAAGCAAAATTGATTTTTTCAATTTTTGTAGTCTGTGTTTCAAGTTAAAAAAAAACATAAATGAGATTGCGTGACGTCATTTGCGGGAAAATTGGTAGTAAAACTATCTAGGAAAAGCACGCGAACTATTCAAAGTGTAAAATCAATTTTAATGATATATATACTGAATATTTATCAAGTTATGAGAGCAATTTTCGTGTTTTATTTATTTGTGAGTTTGAATATAAAAGCAGCACATGATAATTCATTTTATTCACTGAAATTACCTTTTTTTTTCCTTATTCCCACAAATGGTGTCAAGTAATTTTAAACATAGTTTTAGGAACATAATAAGGCTTATTTACATAAAATAATATTCTTATGTGAATAAGCATTTTTTTAGCAAGTTTTTTGAAAGTTGTCCGACCCCCTATTATAATAATAAAACACATACATGCATTGCAGTGTTAACTATATGAAAGATAGATGTCTCCAAATCACTAAATGAAAACAAATTACTTAAATTAAACATACGAAATTTGGTATCATGCCAAAATACGAGTTCTGTCCGACAGACGTACAAATGATGTGCTAAATAATAATGTATATAAAATTCAATAAAATATAACAATAATATTTCTGGCGTAATATCATAATCAAATATATTTTAAATCGTTGATTTGCCAAATTGAGAACTTAAAATTGAAATAGTCGATCTCAAACTTACCACAGTCGGGCACGCCGTCAGGATCGAACTGTGTAAACAGACTCTGCATCCAGAACGCATCGCACCGGCAGCTTCTAGTGGCGCGATCACAAACACCGCGACCAGAACATTCGCTGAGGCACGCTAGGGAACGGACTCGTGCACTGTCTTCTACGGTTGCAGCTGTACGAGCCAATGGTAGAGCTCTCATGCCCTCCAAAGGTTTACCCTAAACAAGTTTTATAAATATACATACAAATTCTGAAATCAAGTCTGCTGTGACCTTGTATTGCTATATTTGTAGGTATGCTTTAGAAAAAATCTAGAATCTTCATTATTAAACTTGTATTTATAATTATTCTGACCGTTAATATTTAAAAGGAGAAAATAATGGTTTTTCACAAGAAGTTACTAGGTATTATTACAAACATAACTTTCTCTAGTTTAATAGATTTATTTAATATTATAAACAGATTCCAACTCAGTCTTCATTAATTCAAAACGAGCGATAAATTGGCGCTAATCTCATCTTATGTCAATGTCAAAGTGACAGTCACAGATAGTGATTCTCGTAATACAATGGGTATGTTCCGATATACACTGCGAGCACTGCGCAGTGGTCTTACTGCTGAAAAATCCGTTCCGTTATGGACTGCCAGTACACTGCTACAGTACCCTAGGGAAATTTATGACGTCATAAATTGCCGCCATATTTGTACTGTGAGCACTGGAGATTTCGAGGTAAGGTGCTCGCAGTGCTTTTGATCACGTGATCAGTGGAAACAGAATCAGAAAATGATAAGTTTCTAAATAAACAAAAAAAAATACTTACGTTTATTATAAGATGGATAAATAATTTTTTTATACAATTTTCCAATTTTATAATATTTTCTTTTGAAAAGAGAGAATATTTATATTTATATTCACCTTGCATTAACAAATTTGAAAATGGCGCCAAAAAATAGGATTGACAGTATACTGGACTGCGTTCCGTTTTAAAAAGTCACCAGTATAACTAGCTATAAAGGAACGGGCTTCCAGTATACTAAATTGACGTCATACTGTTCAGTGATCGCAGTGTATAGTATTTTACTAAAAGTAGGAGTACGTAAAGCTTCTTGTACTTGGATTTTGTCTAATTATTTTGTTTGTGTACTAACATCTAATAACACTATTAGCTTAACAGAATCTTTACAGACATTTGGCGTCATAACAAATTGCACCAATTCTCGGCGTTTTTCAATCAGGTATGAGTATGACAAAAGACTAATAATAGCTTTTCTTTTTAAGGGTAAATTTCTATTTGCATGTTTTTTACCATTTTATAACAGATTCAATTCATTGAAATATGCACATGAACTTAACTATCTATATCAATGAATATACAAAATAAAAAAAAATAAAATATATATATATATATATATATATATATATATATGTTATGGGACTTACCTCTTTAGAAAGGAAAAAAATCAGTTGAGTATTGCCAGTATCATCTTGTCCCCTTACCCCTGTAATGTTGACTCTCACATCGTCTTTTAGGAGTAATGTCATTTTTTGTACAAGCGTGTCCAATTGACCCTGAGTGAATGTCGATACTGGTATATTGAGGGTCATCTCAAGAAGACTCGTCTCTAGTTGGTCCGGTTTCACTTGTACACTGACAGTGTCTCGGCCCGTTTCTCCTTGGTCATCGGCTACAGTTAACTCGAACACATATCTACCTGGTTCTATGTTTGTGAGCTGAAATAGTGAATTATTTATTATAATCATTAAATTACTCATGTACAATCTAAGAAGTTAACGGTTTGCACCTTTGAACGATTTATAGAGCTCGAACGCAAGCTCGTAATATGTAGAAGTCATTCCATTATAACTATTAAATGTTAACACCGGCTATTGAAGCGGAGCTATGATAAGCGGAAAACATATACTAAACTAGTTGCTTTCCCGTAATCACTATTCGCGTATTAGTAATTTTACAACAGGTCCGGTAAATTAGGAGCTAATTCGATGCAAACAAACAAATAATAATCAAATCTTTCCTTTTTATATCATTAGTATGGATGCATTTTAGCTGTTCTATTGAACGTTTTGAATGTCATGATTCAACAGTTAAAACAAATTGAATGGCGCTAATCACTAAGGCTGGATTGCACCATAATAGCAGTTAAAGTTATGGTCTATGTCAAGTTATGGTTATACTTAACAGTTAAACTAATGACGTCATCTAACCAAATGCCAAATAGTGTAACTGTATATTTGATTAACAAATATTTTAACATGTTTGTTATTGTTCAAGTAAGTTGGTGCAAGCGAGACTTACAATTGTGTTAAGAAGACTATTTTAACTAGTTGGCTAGCAGCCAACTAATATCAATATTTATATGAAACATTATGTAGTAATAAAAAATCTAGTTTTGGAACATTGGTAAAAAGACAGCCTCATTACCATTAAAACAGGCTGCGTATCCGAATTCAATATAACAGTGCCAGCTGCCAAACCCGAACCCGAGCGTATCCATTTCCAAGACACAATTCTGAAGTCGTCAGAAGATCTGGATCCATTCAATATGAGAACTGGTTGTGGCAAATATAGTACTTGATCACCTCCAGCATCGGCTTTAGGGGGACTATTTTTATCTAAAAAAGTTGTCAAATAAAAAATAACAGCATATATGACTCATTTACATTGGTCTATGGGGGCCCCATATGTGGAGTGCGGATGATTACTATGGATCAACGTTATTGATTGATCAGGTTTATCGACCAATGAAACGAGTCCCGGATGTAGCACGCACTCCGCAAGTAGGTCCCATCACATAGTGTAAATGAGCTTTAAGTATAAACATCACAAAACACATTTTACTAACCCAATTAAGACAAATAGTTGTTGTATGATTTTACTAGAACGCACTATTATCTCTGTTGAGTTTATGGTAAGACATCATAAACAACTTAATAGTATACATTAATTAACCCGATTAAAAAAAAATAGTTACATATCAACCAATTAGACATTTTTATAATTATAGTTGTATTAATCACAAACAAACACAAATGAATTTACCAAGTTTTCATGCGTATAGATATTTATCAAAGTTATGTACAGCAAGAAGATATAGATACTTAGATAGAAAGTGATGTACTTATGATTGTTGTACAAAATGTCCAGTTGTCACCAATAAAAATAAACTTTTGCACATATAAATTATAACTTTGCCTTATACTGTACAATACTTAATTCAACGCCCCTAACCATGTTAGTAATATGTGGCGACATTCATAGTATGCTGCATATAACGTCCTTTTAACATCTCAAAATCTGACACATTAGGTACTAACGATTTCATTATATCTTTCCCAAAGTTTTTGTAGTTACATTTCTGATATAAGACAAAAATTATTGAGGATATTTAAAAAAAAAACTACTGAAATATATTTTCAGTAGTTTTTTTTTAGTAAAGTTGGTTGACGCATTTTTCCTTCATCTGTGCAATAAGACGTTGCTTCGTACCGAAGAATCATGTCAAATTTTGACCAAAAATTTGCTATCGCTTCTAATGATGTTATATGTTTCAAAATGTAGCTTATTTTTTACTTATTTCATTCAATCCTAAAATAAAGTCAGGATAAAAATTGTGAGGCCAAAATGCGAGTCGGACCCTAAATTGACGGTTAACTACACTACCTCAATGCGATTCGGACCCAATTATGGTTTTCTAAGTTTCATTTCATCTACTACGAAAAAATATTCTTTCGTCATAAGGTAACAATGTGCACATTAACAATTACATTTAGATTATTTTCATATATATGAGTCAAACTATAAAAAAGGCTTTGATTTAATGCATTAATTTAAAGTAGCTTCACAATTATCTTGAGTTTTGACCGCCGTTATAAATAACCTATAAATATTATTTACAAATTACGAATCGCCCTGGCCTCCAGATGAAAAGATGCTTAGATATTATTCCATTTTAAGAAAAAAACTAATTTAAATTGTCACTAATTGTGCGTAGCCACGACCTTAAAAAAAACATGTGTCAGGTCAATCAATGTATGGAAATTGGACATGTTTCTTTTAAGATTCACGGTTTTGATTGTTGATTTTTTGGTTAAATTTTGTTTTTTTTTTATAGCTCCAAGGGCCAGTAGACCTGAGTATTTGGTAAAATTTCAGCTCGATACCTCCACGCGTTACTGAGATAGGATCTTGAAAGACAGATGGACGGACAGACGACAAAGAGAGTTTTATCTATAAGGGTTCCGTTTTTTCCTTTCTAGGTACTGAATCCTAAAAAAATCGAGTAAAACGTTGCTACATGTAAAATGCTGGTGTGGCTCGCTAGCTTAAAATAAACTTACTTTGCGTGACAGTAACAGTGACATTATCCGTAGCAGAATTTCCGTTGTCATCTAAGACGGTCAGTGAGAACACATATTGGCCTTTAGTTAGGCCCGTAGCATTGGCCACTGACTCATTAAAGTTGACAATGTTAGAATTAGTCGGGCCTGACAAGCAACGCCAGGTGTAGGCCACAATACGGTGGTCGTCATGAGAAGCGGACCCATTTAATGTAATCCATGTTTGAGGTAGAGATATGAACTGAAATTATAATTTAGTGGTATGTTGGCTGCCATGCTCTTTCTTAATTTTGCTGAAACTTGACGAATCTTTGTATAGGTGATAACTTTTCCAAAATGACATTGAGCTAATCTGCATGCAAATTAGTAATAGATCATGCACAAATGCCTTCTTTATTATTACAGACCATGTATTATTTATCACAAACACATTAATTAAGGCGAGGTTGCAGTGAATTTGACTACTAATATTGGACGAATTAGTATATGTGAGTGAGCAACATGCATGGGGTTCAATATATAGTAATGTTGTTTTTATGTTATTATTTAGCACACCTTCTCATACCGTTGGCTGTTTTAAATAAAACTACATTTATAGTGACCAGAAGCAACTTACCACATCAGCACCCGCATTCGCTACTGGAGGTGTGTTAGTGGGTGGTTTCACGAACACATGGACGTCGGCAGTCGACGATTGTCCTGATGAATCTGTTACTTTTAACACGAACGTGTAAACTCCTTCTGATAAGTTCGACAGCTGTAAATTATACAAATTACTATCTGTATTAAACTTCCATGGTTACTAATGGCTGGTTTGCACATGGTTAAGTAGATTTTTAACTTAAAATTTAAGAGTTTATGTACGTACGTGTAGACACACAAATAAGTAATAAGCAGCAAGTTAAAGTTAACTATTTAAAGATTAATTAGAATTAAATCTATCTACTTACGGTCAGTTGCCCAAACGTCCATTAAGGTTTAATGACGCATTTAAACTCTAATGACTGTCAAATTTATATGGGTAATGTCGCTTTAAACTAATGACAATTTTATTGGATGTTTGTACAACAAGCAGTCAATCACGTGTAAATCGATCATTAGATTTAAGTAAATATTTACGGAACTACTAAAATGTGCCTTGTTTTGTATATTAACCTATAAAAGCAACTTGAAGATCTAAACGCAAGTGGAAAAAGTGCGAATTTTTAAAGAAATCTTGGACATTTTAACAAAGAGCTGGAATCCAGACGATACTCCTGCATGTGATAGCATAAAGCCGCTAGCGGTTATTCATGATTCAGCAAATATTTTGCACAATACGAGTAGGCAATTAATCCAAAAATAAGGTACTTATTTGGTATAAACATTATTGCGATAGGTATAAATGTTATTACGATTGATAGGGAATGAAAGTGTCTTGTTAGTTCCTATGGTGTTGTACCCTGTTAATAGCTAATCAACTTTTTTTTTCTCCTACGTCGTCACTTAAGCCGGTCACGGTAGGTAATTAAACATCCAAATCAACGTTTTTTGGAATTCGAACCAGAAACTTCGCCAGGAACTGGGCAGCTATTCTATACCAATAATAAGCTTCTGTATAACACAGATGAATTTTTCTCTTCAAGGAAATTAATAAACTACACACTCAGCATTCTTATTAAAATTAGTTTTACCCACTTGCAAATAAGGTGAATGTGTATTTTGCATGTCCACAGCTTTGTTTTCATCCTCAGCAGATTTCGTCCACTCCCATGATGTTATTTCGTGATCATCAGTAGAAAGGCTTCCATTGAGAGTAAGATTATTATTTGGTAAATATATTATAACGTCTTGACCTTAAAATGATAAAAGGTTGCGATTAGTTCAAATTAAAACTTATCGCATGAAGAATGCAGCATATAATTTGCGTTCGGAGGGGAAATTATAAAGTGGTATAAACTTTGAAACTTTCGCGTTGCATTATATAAGATCGTATGAAACGGGTATGATAGTTAGGTTTTTCACCTACCAATATTTCCCGACGTTTCGACCGGGTTACACCGGTCGTGGTCACGGGCGGTAGGTGAAAAACCTATCTATCAATCTATCGCGTTAATACCAGTTTCATACAATCTTTTATACAGTGGTTTCAGCTGCTATAAGTTTATTTTGGTTACATATTGTATTTTAAACTCTACTCAGTAATACTCAGATGTGTTAAAGCTATAATATAGAGTAAGCATTATCTTAAATATAAAGAACTTTATTGTACACAATTACACAATAGGAAACAATTTACAGATAATCACACTTTAGACAAAAAATAGTACACAAAATACGGACTCATTGTTAAGTAGTAATCTTTTTCAGGCGACCTATAAATGACAAAAATAAAAAGGAAGATTATATGGGGTAATGGGTGCAACGATGGAAGGAAACGATATATATCTCAATAAATTAAACAGAAAATTACATAAGGGGCTTAAAGATAAAAGGAAAGGAAATTTTAACTCTATTGCCAAAAACTTACTGAACGAGATTTACTGCCATCTTTTAGAAGAATGCATGCTGAGCAGTTATGGAAGAACTGCTCTAACAACAACAATCTATGGAAGATTAGATGAGGATCGAAAAGCTGTGAGAAAGAAGGGTCCAAAGAGAAACATTGTTATTTAAACAATTTGTATATTACAAGTATTACCTGCATTTGCTTCTGGTGGATAGTCAGTGTGATTTAATACAGTAATATTGGCTGTGGTAGAATTTTTTACATGATCAGAGTCTTCCACAGTCAATCTAAAGGTGTAGTTTCCAGGTTGTTTCAAATCTTTTAGAACAAGGGTCGGTCCATCTTGCAGCGGTGGTTGATAGCCAATGGGTCCAGATGTCGACTCCCAGTGCCAAGATATAATAGCATCATCATCCTGTACTCAATTTTAAGTATCATTAGTAATGAAAATACTACAAAATAAAAGTATTGTCGAATATACTAATATCAAAAAGATTAATAACAATTGTTTGTACCTTTTTTTTGCGTCGAATAGGCTCAAAAACTACAAGACCTATTAAAAAAAACATTTATCTAAGGGAATCTACACCATACGCGGTTTACATAGGCTAAACTAGTATTTTATAATGATACAAAACAGATCCAGAAATTAAAAAAAAACAACATTAGTAAAGAGAAAAAAAAATATCTGCATAAACTTCTGCTGCATGAAAATATTCGGTTATCTTTAAGATCTTAAATAAAACAAATATCACATAGCAAGCTCACTAAAAGTATAATTTAGATTTTTTTCAAAGTTAATGGAAAAAATCTCTATAGACCTATGGATGGTTATTTTATACCTTGCTAGAGCTGCCATCAAGTACAGCCCCAGAATTTGGCAACTTGACAGTTTGCGTTTGAGGAGTGATCACCACTACTGGCGGTTTATTGATCCTTTTCAGTGGTAACACAGTCACAGTAGCAAAACCTTCTCCATATGAGCTGGTACCATTTACAGTGACCTTGAACCGGTATTGACCTTCTGTTAGGTCTGTTAACTTCACAGTTGCTCCATCTTGGTTCATATTACCTATAATATTATATATAAAATTGTACTTGTCTATCTATCTATAGTAACACAATAAAGAGATAGTTTCTAACTTTTTTTGTAGTAGGTAATCTTCGGAAATACAGACCGAGACATGAAAATTATTTCAGCCAAGGGAAGCTACATCATATGCGGATGATATAACTTACACGAGCAAAATCACGGTAAAACAGCTAGTTCTTGATAAACAAAGAAACTTAAAATAGCACTGGATTTTTTATTTATTTATCAATCAACAAAAAATTAAAAACATTATTGTGACACTATTTAGAAAAAAGGAAACTCAACGCGGCAGATGATAGACGTGTAGGAGTCACTAATACAATGTAACACGAGTCAACCATGATGTTGAAAATTTTAAATCATAGGTATTACAACTTCAAAACTACGTATTTAAAAAAGTGCCATTCAATTAAATGGCTAGCTGTATAATTCAACAATAAACAATTTTAACCAGGTGACTTCAATTGGGATGTCTACTTAATTAATTCAGTCACTTTCGGAAATTCATAAGTGCGATGAATATTTCCATTATTTGATGGATTTCTAATATTTTTCACCAGCCTATTAATGCCTCCATTGCTAGGGATTAGACCGTCGAATCGAATACGGAGAATGGGCTATGAACTCTCGGACGAAGTGCGAATTGGTGGGTGTTAACGACTAGACTTCAGGTGCAGCTGAGACCAACGGCTTAGCGTGCCTTTCGAAGCATGGAAGAGCTCGAGATCAGTGGCGGACTAATGGGGCAGGTCCCGCGTTTCTTGTCCTAGGGCCTCCAAATAGCAACAAGTTCCCTTGATCAAAACATAAATAAGGGTTGTACTGCCTTATCTTTCTTATGTCTAGATTCGTAGTCTTAGCTGGGGGGTGGGGGTAAATGCAAAATCAAGTTTTGCTCCAGTTGGAAAAAGTTGTAGGTACTGGCCCGATGCCGCCTCGGGCCCCCGACGGATCTAGACTGGCACTGCTCGAGATACATTTTTCGTAGCCCATCCTATGACAGGCCCTTGCGAAAGTTGCTTAACGAGTATTCAGATGCATTAATGCAATATGAAGGAACAGTTGCTGGAAGTAAGTTAACCTATCAATCACAGGAACAAGAGACGAAAAAAACAATTTGAAAATAATTAAACTGACTTCAAAAAAATGGAATAAAGAGAAACAACTGAGAGAGGAAGAAATAATACTACAAATTAAGAAGTAAAACAGCACTATCAGAAAATGTATTTTTCTCTTACGATACATGACAATTAATAAATATCTGGCACTGATCTCAAAAAAATGGTTGGTGTAAAATTGCTTACCAGTGAATCCACCTTTAGATTGATCTACTAAAGTCCAAACATAGTTATAGTGACTCTTTGTAGCCTTTTCATCTGGAATTGTATAGGCAGCTAAAGTCACTTCATTATCTGGTAACTGGACCTGAAAATAATACAATCCAATTTTTGTACATAAGTAGGTACACAATCTCCATGATTTCATCTACAATAAGTTCTTTCGATTTTATCACAAATATTAGAATGGATTCACATTCTCATTGATCATACTTCTTTAACACTAATAAAAAAGCACAATGTAATTTGCTCATATAACTGAAAACTTAGATAACTGTTTGTAATTAGATAATCACCGCTGTATATATATTTAGGTTGTATATTAATGATAGTATTGCAATAACTTTCAAGCAATAACTGGTTATTGAACCAAGATTTTGTCTTAGACTGAATAAATGAGGTTGAATTTACTGAAGTCATTCAACAACAATTAATCCCTAAGATATAGATATATATACCATGTCCGGGGACCATTGTGTCAAATTACCTAAAATTGCACACAATACAGGCAACCCACCAATACAGGTAATTATTTATCAACAGCCATTCATTGAAATAATCCTGTGGTTTGATTAGCTTTTGTTAACAGTCAAGTCTAATTAAAATATATAACATGCATACAATAATAACTATACAAATAATAAAATTGATACCTGTTTATCTGAGACTGATACTGTTAAATTTTGAATAGTTTTAGGAGTAGAAATGTCCATTTTTGTATCATCACTCTTAATATCAGGTATGTCATCAGATTTTTTAATTGAATCTAAAGGTATTGTTGGTCCTTTTGCATATGGTCTAATTATTTGTATACAAGCTCCTTGAGCATTTTCTTCTGTACCCAATACACATTTGCAGATACCATTATTTGGTTTAATACCCAATGGAATACACTCAGAATTAAAAGGGCAATCATTCGCTCCAACATCACATGGTACTTTGTCAAGATAGTTTGTTGCTTCCATGATCATATCACTATCATTGTTATCTCTATATTTATCAAAAGTTCTCACTTCATCTTCTTCTATACTTGGTAAGTTGTTGAGGAAATGGGATAAGAAGCTGGTATCATCATCCTCTGTTAATATATCATTTCTATGGCTCGTATAAGGGGAATATAAAGAATCATCTTCTGGAGAATAATTGTTGTTCATTTCTGCATAGCTTGACTGATCTAATATGTCTGACCAATTTTCTGCAACCACCCAAAAAATAATAAACTGATACATATAAATATATGGTTAATATATGTTGACAATAAAAATACTTTATTTTAAATATAACAAACCACTGAGAAGTACAGGTTTTACAAGTATCATGGACACATGTGCCTGCCACTTTTTTGTGCCAACTCTTGGAAATGGCAAGCACATCTCATCACTGACACACTCCACATGAAAACATCTAGCTTCAACAATGAACACAATGTTGCAGGAGTCACTTAAACAGCAAGCCATTACACACTGCCTCAGTCCTTTGAGTTCGGTTTTTTCAGAATAATTACCAGCAGTTATATTACCTGTTATAATACAAAATATTGAACATTGTTATGTCAGATACAAAATGAAAAATGTTATTGATGTGCACTGTATTCATAATAGTGTCTAGTATAATTTTAATTAAAGATTCGTACTTACCAGCTGGAGCATAGTTTACAAAATTTTTAGGATACAATTTGGGACACTTATTGCTTTCATATTTATCATTCCATGGTTTGTTAAATTGTGAAAGAGACGTTTTAACATTTATAGCTAGGAGTAATATAATAAAACTTATGCAAGGATTTAAATTACTCATTATGAGACACCTAATTATTTTCAGAATAACATTTAATATTTGTGACCAATATTTCCTTTTCGTTGTGCGTTTAAAATAGTACAATTATATATTTAAGTAGTATTTGTAGGTAAAGTGAATACGTGTGGGTGTCATTCGTGATAACAATGTACTTCTAAATGGATTTCATATTTGTATACCAATAAATTCATTAAACGAAGAGAGTTAACATTTTTATCTATCACACACCAACAAATAATCACGTCACCAACACCATTTCATTTACTAATCTTCACACACACACAGTCATACTTAAAGTAACATAACATTATATTTATGGTAGAATCACAAACTACACTGAATATTGCTGCTATAAAGCAATTCCCAATTCGATTCTTTTCTCGATTTTTTGATTTTCTGGTTTTAAATTTGGTACTTCAAGAACTTCGCAAAATGAACAGATTGAAAATCGATCTTTACATTTATCTTTAAGAGAATGTATCTTTTAATTCCTTACTAACATAAAAATCAAAGGGATGACTGACTGATTAGACTAATATCTTTGCAGGCAGGTTTTGTTTGTAGACTGTGTTTTGATTTGTAAAATGAAAGTCAATTTGTAATACATTATCAAAAAAATTGTTTTCTTCAGGTTTCATTATTAAAAAAGGGGTTACCGGTTGATCTTTTGAATTTGTGATATAAACTTAAAATATAAAGGTTTATGCGTGAAATGCGGAAAATTATGGGGAAAATCGGTTTCTTTAAAAGGAACATTACTTCACCATCATTTAGTTTTTGGAAACGACTGAACAACTAACTGCCTTCTGTAACTTTAGACGGCAATTTTATTCCTTACTCCAAAACTGTCACAAACCTTGGAGTTGGGTTTGATAAACAGTTCTCTTCGAAACCCCAAGTGGAGACAGTCAGAAAAAAGATTTTCATTGCGTATGGCTCTTTCAGACGCCTACATCAATTCTTATTGACTAGCACTTAAATCACCTTGATCCACTCTTTTCTTGTCTAAGGGGTCTCTCTAAAAGTGTGTATTTTTTTCATTTTAAAATAAAAACACGTTTTTTATGACAGAGTTGTGACATTAGATTGTAAAGAAGACATGTTTCGATTAAATATGGAATAAAATATCTGGCAAATGGCCCACTCTGCTCTGATGACAAGCCAATAATCTTTTTATTAAATTTTCCATGACTTTTACATAGAGATTGGTGGAGATACCTCAACGATGACGCTTTGGATCTCTGATTTAAGCTCAGGAATTGCTCTACGCGATTGCTACTTCGCGACAACGCTAGACCACACACTGCACAACAGACGGCTACCAAATTAGAAGAGCTTCAATTAGAATGTCTAAGACATTCACTGTAATCCCCGGACCTAGCTCCAACAGATTACTATTTTTTTCTGAATTTGAATAACTTCTTGCAAGGGAAACAATTCAACTCCGATGAATTACCTTTGAGATGGCAAAAGTGCATAGATAACAATGTTTATACTTTGATTAAATAAATATATTATATTAAAAAATATTCGACTTTTTGTTCCTCCCATACCAAACTCCAATTTTATATGTAAGGACCTAAAAGGTTTCTGCAAAATAATGTGACTTATTAGTTATTTATTACATAAAAACTACAAAACGTTTTTTACTTGTTTATTTTATCATGAAAACGAATACATCACTTTTCAATTATCTTAAAAAAAAACTGAGAAACCGGTTTTGTTTAGTAAATTATCCGGTCTTATCGGTTTCCAAATAGACTGTTCTTCACATGTTACTTTAAGTGAGATTTGTGAAAGGCTTAACAGTATTCTCCTCGTAGCATTCGAGCTGGCGTCATTTTTATAATTTTAGCTTTGAAATTTGTTATAGTTTTTATTTACTATTGTTTATGCTTAATTTTATAAAAATATGTTATTTCTTATCAACTTAAAGTCACAATGAAACTTAATTCCCGTTGTTGCTACAAACGTTAAAAGCCTTCTGAAAGCCTTTTTTCGAAAGGAGGACCCACCATCACACAAAGACGAAACAGACTTCAGCTGCTTTTCCTAAATTCGGTCGGTCCTACCAATTCAATACAATAATAAAACTAATTTTGTGTTTATATTATTATAACATATTTCATAATATGATATTTTAATTTTTATGGAGCAACATCTTTTGGATTTATTAAGACCGAAAAAAAAATCGATATATCAGCTTCATGGAGCGATATTATTATTAAACCTTACATCCCTAGTCTTGTATAAATGACATTGACATTATTTGTGGTTGTTAGTAACTATAGCAAAGAAATCTTATTATTAGAATCAACTAAAACATTTGTAGAATATTTGTTTTACTAATGTTTGTATACATACGAATGGTCCAAACTCTATGGTGCAAACCAAGAATCAACAATTTCGTAGTTAGAAAATAATCTTCATACAAAACTTGATTTCAAATGACGATGATGAATAAAAATACAATAATGAATATTTTATATGAATATATCCACCTATTAACGTAAAATATTGCTCATGACTTTGAACATTCTTCTCGTAGTAGGTATTATTATACTTCATAATAGTCCCATGGGATTGACCCCGACCTTTTTTGTGAATCATTAGTCGAAATAACGGTCTCAGTTGTCGGTGTAGGCATTGAAGGAGTAGTTTCTATTTCGATTGAGGCTACAGTTGCTAGTGACGGAGTTGATGGGCGATGGGTTGCGAAGTCGAAAACCATGTAATTATCGTGGTTAACAACATCTCTGGCGTCGTCTACGCCGCAAGTTATAAACTTGTTGTTTTTTTGCAAATCCACAAATCCTACTCCACACGGGCGATCTATTAACCTTGAGACCATCATGCCCACTGCAAATCCTGAGCATTCTATTACAGAACCTACGTCATCCTGGAATATGAAACCAAATAAAAATTATAGTAGTTATTAGTAGTATTATTGTTATGTAAGAAATTCTGATTGATAAAGACTTTAATAATAAGTGTATTTTTTAATGAGGAAGTATTAAAAAAGTTAACTACTTATATAAATGTCACTAGATGTATATTTGATTTCGGGAACTAACGGGTTTTTAAATACTTCCTCATTCGAGAGAGACTTTTTTCTTTATGACTTCTACTTATTGATTAGCTGCTTAACCCACAGAACAGATAAGCTTTACCTATTTAGTAATTTATTTGACTGCAAAGTAAAGGTTTATTGTTTACTCACTGGACATAAAGCACCAAACTTTTCTGACTGGAAGAAAAATAATAATTGGAAAATAACGAAGGTACTTCATAAACATTAAGCCTATTATTTCCCTGCTGCTAGTACACAGGCCAGGCTTAAGGATGCCCAACTAGCAAAAATATGTCGTATAGTAGTCGCGGCAACGAAAATTATTCAGCATTTTGGCTCCTAATAGAAGTCGTATAAACGTAATGAAAACGTTTATACAACGCGATTTGGGCCCATTTTATTCAGCAATTCAGTCACATAGACATCGTATAAAGGTAACTTATTCAGGTAAAACGTCACGTAATTATCGCCGGAGTGACTGTTACAAGCTTATGTTGCGCTATAACTGTAACTTATATGACTTTTATATGACATGTTTGTCTTATTGAAGCGACCTGGGATACAAAACAGCTGAAAACATTTATAGTAAATAAAATAAGCAAGTGCTTCGACGTGTTGTGTTTTAGAAATTATAATTCATTGGTAAGTACAATTTATTTAGCAGACATGTTAATTTGTAGGTTGCATCAAATGTAGGTTCGTAAACTCACGCATAGGGTTGTAAAGTATTGCGAAGGTAAGTTTTCTGAGGAAATATACTAGGTTATATCATAAATATTTAACGCCCCCCTTTGATTCTTAGTAATATGAATATAATAACAAATATTTTTATATCAATATAATTTTTGTACACCATTTTTACTGCTGACAGGCGGTATAATAGCTTCTTATACAGCAAATTAGCAGTATGAGCGCCATGATACCACTCTGATTATAGTTTAGGGTTCCTTAGAACTTCCTAAAAAGTTTTCTAAAAAAGACTTTTTGTTTGTTTATTTATTTAATTAACTATTTATTGTACACAACAAAACTAGAACAAGTTACACAAAAGGAACTGCTTTATTTCTGAAAAGAAATTAATGTCTTTCATACGCCCATTCTGCAATATTATTACGCAACTCACAGTCTTTGTCAATGGAGTGGTCTTTGTCAAAGTTTTCTGAAGCACTACTGTCGTCTGAATCTATTTCGTGTACGGAAACACTATTTTCTAAATCTCTCAATTCATTTTCCAAACACGGATTTTCAAATTCCAAATCATGATTTTTCTCTGAGGTAATTGTTTCACCTGCGGAACCACTTACTAAAATATTATTTCCCACTTCACTGCATAAACAAGAGGTTCCTTGCTCAATAATAATATTTGATTTACCCATTAACGATTGATACTTTCTTTTCACTTTCCTCTTGTATCCACCACTTTTTTCAAGTTTTTCCATTTATTCCAGTCCATTTTCGATAACTGTAAACTACTCACAGCATTTTACACAAAACAATCTGATCGGTGTAATGGATACAATTATACGACATTTTAGGCTTGTAATAGTCGTATAAATGCGACGTATACTAACATAATAGTAGTATAAAAGCAACAATGTTGCTTTTACTCGACTGAGTCAATCTTGCCATAAGAAAGCTATATAATATGCTTTTACTCGACGAAATAGTAACATAAACGTCGTATACTAGCGACTTATTCAGCAAAATATTATATGACACTTAAGTCATATAAGGATGCTGACTAAACGTTTACTCAGCATCATTATGTGACCGAAATGCTGAATAACTCAAAAGCTATATAAGATGCTTTTATACGATACGTGCTGAATAATTCACACTTACTCGACTTTTATAACACCGAAAAGATGAATAAACTTTACCTTATATGACTAATTTGCTAGTTGGGTGGAATCTCAAATTCTCTGTGATGGAATCAAATAGTGAAATAGACGACCACGTGGGCCTATTGCGGATTAGTGGGTGTTAACGACTGCAGATGCAGCTGGTACCATCCACTTGAGCGGCATTTGCAAAAGTTGCTTAACTTCTGCATCGGAAATCGAAAACGCTAACCACAGCGCTATTAAGCTCCTGTGAGAGAGTTATTAACTATTACAGATTGAGCGTACAAATGACTAACGAAGGTCGACGAACGCTAGCCAATAGTCTTTTGGAATAATTTATGAATGTAGGGTG